GATCCTGCTGCCCATGTCACTGATGAAGATATTAAAGGGTGCCAGTCCCATGAGCGTCACCACTCACCACCAGCTTCTACCTGGACACAGAGCCACTGACCTGGCTGCATCCATCCAGCAAACTCCTTATCCACTGACTATGAATGAGTCCATCCATCAAACCATGTCTCTTCAATCTGGAGATAAGAATGTCATGTGGGACTATAATAATGGCCTTACAGAAGCCTACAGAAGACTGACATTGGTCAGTCTTCCATTGTCAACCCTGCTGTTACTCCATCACAGAACACCACCAGATTGGTCAGGCATGACTTGCCATTAGTAAAGCCATGCTGGCTACCTTGAATTACCCTCCTGTCTCTTAAGTGCCATAGCACATCTAGGAGGTTCTTCGGAGGCATAGAGGCGAGCCTTACCAGTCTGTAGTTCCCTGGATCTTTCTTTATCTCCTTTTTAAAAATGGAAGTGATGTTTCCCTTTTTCCAGTCAGCAGGGACTTCACCTAACCACCATGACTTTCCAAATATGCATGAGAACATCTGTTTGAATTCCAAGAGTACACTGAAGGTTACAAGGCTTGTATTTACAATGAGACTCTGTAATGCTGTGCTGATGAGGCACTTTCTTGCCAAATCATTACAAGCTCTCACTCTGACTGCACGGTATAATACATCATTTGTGTATACAATAAATGATGACAATCAATAAAATCCTTGTAAGCCAGTCTGCTTCCAAAAAAACCGAAACAAAACAAAACAAAAAAACCAAACAAACAAACAAACAAAAAAAACCCCAAAAACATCAGGCTACCTCAGGTTTAAAATATGGCAATCCTGTAATAATGCCAAGTTGAATCAGAATATTTTTAAACAGTAAAATGACTAAGGAAGAGAAAACTAACCAACAAACAAACAAAAAAACCCCCAAAAAAACAAAACAAAACCCCAGCCTGAGACACTTGCTGTTAAGTGAAAATTCAGTACCCAGGAAAAACACTGCCCTCCCCAAAAGCATTTGGGATAAATGCTTTGTCTTTGCTTTACACTTTGTACAAAGCCATAGTCCATTTTGTCTTAACCCTGAAAAACCAAGACAAACTCAGAA